CCGAATACGAAACAGAAGCAGAAACCACCTTCCACAAAGCCGCAAGACCCGTGGACCTGAACCATAGTGGGTGGCACAGAGCTGCCAAATGCAGTAAAGCTGAAGAGGAGGGTGCCTGGAGAGGACGCTGGCAGCGCCACCTCTCAGACGAAGCCACCAGACTGAAAACCCCGCAATAATGGCAGGCTCTGAGGGGAGCAGCTGTTCCTTGTCAGAAACGATGAAACGGGACAAGTGCCGGCCCTTGGGACCTGCCGGAGTGGAGGGACTGGGGTGCCCCTTACAAGGAGCAGTGTGGGGAGAGAGACTCGCGAGGTACGCAGCCCTGCCATCGACAATCTTCGACGGCTGGAAAACTAAGAAACGAAAGTAGCTCTTCCAGGCCTCCAACCCCGTCATGAGCGCTGTAACTCAGGGAGGACTGGGCTGGGCCCAGATGCTGCCCTCCCCGCCATGAGTTCATACCAAATGGGTGGGCCAGAAACGAAATCGACTCTACTTAATAAAGACAGGTAATAATGGAGAACAAGCCTCCACAGTGTTCTTACAAAAACGTCCAAGGAAAGGAGAAACAGCAGATTTTAAAAAACCCACTGAGCACACGAAGCATGTGACCAAACTTACTGTTTTAATTCGGAGAACTTAAGCAAAGAAAGAGTTCACACAGAGACCGGTGGCCAGAAACATGGCAGAACAGCCGAAGGAAGTGCCGCGGACACTCAGTGTTGTTCAGCAAAGAAATGAAAAGGGGAAAGTGAAGCTACCTGGGCAATAGGCCCCGTCATAAGGCAGGCAGGCTGTATAGCAAAGGCAGAGACCATTCGGGGAATGATTTATCTTCATTAACCAAGGGCTCAAAATACAGTACTGAAAATGAAAAGCATATACTAAAGGCATAAAATATTTATAGGTATAAAGGCTAACATGGGAAGACCTAGGAAATAATCACCTGAAAACTGTGCGGTAGAGGAAAGTGAAGTACATTGACGGTGCTTACAGCAGTCCACAGACAGCGTGAGATTTACAGTTCGGAAGAGAACTACCACGGGACGCCCCCCACAGTGCAGGGCACACCGCTGGTACTAGCCATCTCTCCCCTCAGGATCCTGACTTTGGCCCTACATATATACCCTTCTCTTCTCCACAGTCATGTGCTTTAGAGCAGCTTTTTTTTTTTTTCTTTTAAGTTTTTGCCATACAGTGCATACGCTCACCAGAGAGAGACAGAGAGGGAAAGTGAGAATTAACTCCCTGTGGGAATGGCCACCCTGCATCCCTTCTCCTCCAGTATTCTCTTGGAATTTTGTGTACAAACACACAAACAACAACAAACACACAAACACACACACACACACACACACACACACACACACACAACAGTGTGATCTTTCAAGCCACTGGGTCCAGGATTCAAACCATGGCTGGACATATGAGAATCCAGCATCTTCACTTTGTCACCTGCTGGCTGGCCTTAGAGCAGCGGTTCTTAACTAAGGGCAATTCTTTTTTTAAAAAAATTATTTAATTACATTTGTTATTATTATTTATCATTTTTTGTAGAGAAGTTTTTGCTATAGGGCGTGTGCACTCACTGGAAAGACAGAGAGAGAGAGAAGGTGAGAAATCACCCTCAAAGAGGGGATGGTCATACCGCAATCCTTTCTCCTACATTCTTCTCTCAGGGTTGTGGATATGCATACACACATGCCTGGTATGAGTTTTAAGCCACTGGGTCTGGGATTCAAACCATGGTCAACTATGCAGGAGTCCAGTGACATAACCATTACGCCATCTGCTGATCCCATTACTATTATTTTTAAAATTCGACCAGAGAGAGACAGAAAGAGAGAGGGAAAGTGCGAAAGCAAGCCTCCGAGTCTGGGACAACTGTGGTCAGCCATGTGGGGAATCCAGCGTTTTTAATCACCACACCACCTGCCAACTCCAACTAAGGGCAGTTTTAACCCTCAAGGGAGAGTTTTAATGTCTGGAGATGTTTTTGACCTTCACAATTTCAGGAGATGTTACTAGCACTTAGAATATTGGGCCGTCAGAAAAATCATGATGAAATCTTTGCATAATGAAACAGAAAAATAAGTCATGACTTTTCCAACGACCCACAGAAGCCAGTGTGAGAGACTCATAAGTCAAATTCTATGTACGACCTTTCAGGCCCAACCTGGAAGGCCATTTTAGCAGCTTTGCCTGACAGGCTTCATGGGAGCAGAACGCTCTCTGCATGCGACACTTGGAGCCCAGCTGGCGCATTGCAGGCTTCGGAGAGTTGTGTAGGGACTCAGGCCCCGAGAGCTATGCCTTCCTAACCAGGCAACCTACATTCTGAAGACTCCTTCTCACAGGGCCTTGGCCAAGATGCTTTTCATGTCACTTACATACTACGCAGTAATACATTTTGCATGGGGGGGTGGTGGTGGTGTCATCTAACTAAAAGTTCATGGAAAATGTGTATTATGAAAAACTGTGCATGGATTAAATAAAATTAGTACCAAAATAGACTTGTCCTGCTTTCATTTCATATCTGCAGTGCTCTGTTCTCTAGAATAATGAAACTTGATTTTTCACAAAAATTGACCCATATAAAAAGTATTTTACATCTGGGTCCCCACAATACAAAGGGAGCTGTCTCTTCTTAGACTTCTATCACAAATGACTGCATCACAAGTATAGAAATTATTTCCATGTGCAAGAATTCTCTTGATATTTCTCTGGTATAAGAGAACCAGGGCCAGCAGTTGGCGAAATGGTTAGTCACTGAACTCTCATGTAGTCAACCACATTTCGAGTCCCGGACCTGGTGGCTTAAACTCACACCGGGTGCGTGTGCATGTGTGCCCAAGATCCTGAGAAGAGAATGGAGAAGGGATTGAGGTGTGGCCATCCCCCCAGGGGGGTGATTTCTCACTTCCTGTCTCTCTGTCTCTCTCTTTCTGGCGAGCGCACAGGTGCTCTGTAGCAAAAACCTTTCTCAAAAAAAAAAAGAAAAAAAAAAGGAAAGCGAACCAGAGAAGGCTTAGAACTGCTGGACCACACTAACGTAAGAGATCTCAACCCTTACTAAGAATAATATGGCATAGTCGACACTGTCCAGATAATAAGCCTAGAATAAAATGATGCAAAGTTACATTTGACAAGCTTGTAAAGACTATAAACTTTCTACCAAAACACAAATCCAAGATTTAAAAAAATGAAATCTTAGTTCAAACTGACATGGAACTAGAAAATAGTGGACAAGCAGTTCCGTTATCAGAACCTGGGGAGAAATCTGGGTGACCCTGATCGACACAGATCTTTCACCACATAGTGAGTTTTAACTGGGTTTTTTGAAGAACTCAAACTTTCCTCTCATCCTTGCTACTGCCCGCTTTTTTTGCTTTATGGATATACCAGGCACATTGCTCCACGTTTCTGTCATGTTTCTGTCTCCCTTCTGCCTCTATTTTCTCCTCAGAGAAAACGTGAAATAAGATAAATGTGAGGAAACGTCCAGCACTTTTTTTAACCCAAAATTGCTGTAACATTTTCCAAAATTTGCTAGAACAGGTTGAGTATCCCTTAAACCAAATGCTTAGGATGGTAAGTATTTGGGATTTCTTGGGTTTTTGTTTTTTTGTTTTTGATTTTGAAATATCTGCCCAAACGTCCGGAGATCTTAGGGATGAGATCCAAGGCTGAAATTCATCCAAGTTTCATACACAACTTATACTCATCACCCAGGATAATCTCGTCAGCATTTGACTGTCACCCATCACATGAGGTTGGGTGTTGTGTTCAAAAAGTTTCATGTTATTGAATTATTTCAGACTGTGGAGTTTTAGATTAGGGACGTTCACCCTTGTAGTAGAGACTGGACTGTGTAACCCATTAAAACCAGGGCAGCAGAATCTGCCAGCACTGGATTTCCAGGGCCAACTTAGGTCTGCACTAAAAACGGACTGAATACACTTTAAAGACGAACACCTTGGGACCAGCAGTTAGTATAATGGCTATGTCACTGGGCTCCCATGTAGTCGATCACGGTTCGCGTCCTGGACCTGGTGGCTTAAAACTCACACCGGGCGCATGTGCGTGCATGCCCAAGATCCTGAGAGGAGAATGGAGGAGAAGGGATTGTGGCGTGGCCATTCCCCCTGGGGGGGAGGAATTTCTCGCTTTTTGTCTCTTTGTCTCTCTCGGTCTGTCTGGTGAGTGCACGTACCCTGTAGCAAAAACCTCTCCAAAAAAAAAAAAAAAAGCCCGAACACCTCAGTCTGGGCAGTTCCTCATATCAGACTTTCTCATCTCTTTGGATTGGAAGACTGGGCTGGGCTGCAAGAAGAAATACCTTCTAGTATTTAAAACCAAAAATCCTCATGTTTTCCAAGGATGGAATCAAGTGAAAAAACAGACGTTTCAGTCGAACTCCCACCTAATATTGGTAACTATCATTTCTTGTCCTTTTTGTTTTGATTGAACTGCCTAATCTACATAGCAATACTACTGCTTTTGTTGACAATTCAGTAATACTAATAGTTCTCATATAATAGTGTAAACAAAAACGTGTATTTTCCTTCTGGGCTTGGAAAAGCTATATATTGTTATGTGTATGCCCAGTTACAAATTTTACTTAATATCTAAATTGAGTGTGTGTGTGGTTTTTTGTTTATTTGCTTGTTTTCATGAGAGCATATACAACCCAAATGTGAGAGGGAAGAGAGAGACAGATTATTTTTTAGAATCTCGCTATGTCACAATCTTCTCGTTTGCATGATTAGCTAGAACTCCCAGGCATGTACCACTGTCCTGGCCTGTTTAGGTTGGACTGAGGACAGACCTGGGCCTCCACATGGCCTCGGCTACCATACAATTGTCCCCTCCAGCCTGCACCAGGCCAGGCCTAAAATAAGCACTATTTACTATTAAGGCAATTTTCCTCATTCTTTCTACTTTAAAATGAAAAGAAATAAAGAGCAGAAGTAAATAATTTATCATTTAAGTCACTCTGATTCTGGAAATAAAAATATTTTAATTCAGTCCCACTTACAAAATGAAAGTAGACTTAACCCACAGTGAGCACATCAGCGACATTTTCACATACAGGAAACATAGATACATTCGACTACGGACAAGACATGTCACCGTATAGTACATTTACATTCATGTGAAGTAGATAAACTTACTTAATTGTATATATTTGTGACTTTTACATCTGGTACCTTTTAAAACAACTAACATGTAATAAACTTATTTTGTAAAAGTCAGTTCATACGTGATGATTTAAGATTAGGAGAGTCTCTTCTGAAGAATTACAATAGCTGTAACCATACTGTAAGAACTCAATAATTTTAAACCTTAGCTTCAAGCTAAATTACGTTTAGCAATTTAAGTTATGTAACTTGCAATGCATGGAATTCTTAGCAGGTTACATCGTTTGGATTACAGTTTCAATTGTTTCAAGTGGTTCATAATTATTTGTGCATCAGAATTTTAAAAAGCACCAAGGATAACATTATTTTCACATCATAAATGAAACCACAACAGAATGATCTCAATTTCCCTTTAAAATCTAGTCATTTATAAGGAGCATTTACTTCAAATTCTCAATCTTTAAGAGTTCTTACTGAGATCAACTGATACACTGGAAATAAGAATGAACACAGTAAACATAGATGCTATACATAAATGAACACCTACTAACTTAATAAAATTCAAATTGACTCCAACATTGGTGATTCCCATTTTTTGACTCAGTACTTTAGATCCCAAAGGAACTCTAAGAATAACATTTGTAACTTTTCAACTCTCTCTTAAAAAGAAACTCCAAAGCTGTCCTTCCAGTGCCCATATATGAATCAAAAATTTTCCTGATGAATACAGCACCTCTTACAGTAAAGAAAATATCTTCTAGAAATTACCATACAAATTATGTGTGTAAAGGTATACTTCTTCCAAATGTGTTATGTAGTTATTTTAAATAGACACAATAAAAAAAAAATTCAAAGCACAGATTGAAAAAAATAACCCAGGTGCTAATATTCCAGTCATTAAATATTGCAGCATATGAGACATTGTAACAACTGAGAAAATTTTTCCTAATCTAAATGGTCAATGAAATCTCTTTGGAAATATATTGTTTAAAAGGTCCACAATACATAATCTTGGCTGTGAAATTGTAATCCAAGCTAAAGGTTTTTACGGCTTTACAATCCTGTGAAAATGAGTGTGTGTACAGGTCCACTCCATCAGACCCTGCATCACTGGTGTGGCTTTGGTACGGGCCAGCGAGGTTTCGATGTTCCTGTTCTTTACCAGAGGCACACGGTAAACATGCCATTAACAATATACACGGTAAATTTTACTACTCACAGAATGCTAATGAACATTGTATTAAACATTTCCAGATAACAAAAGGTCTTCCCCAAATATAAACCATAAATTCCCTAGATTGAAGAATAATTGTTAATGAATACAGAGATGTACAAGGGGAAACATTAAACTACCTGGCTTGACAGTTTTCAGTCAAGGTTTAGGACATTTTTTTTTTTTCTACTTGGATGCGTGATTTTTATGAGAAGTTCCAGCTTCTCCTAAAAAAGATTTCACTTCTTTTTTCCCATGTTTTTTTTGTGTTCATGCATTTCTGTTTTACTAGTTATAGACTTTTTCCGAGATGAGGTATTAGGAACCACTGCGGTAGAAGGTCCACTGGTAGCTACACAAAAAAAGAAAACACTATTGGTTAGATTTACACAACCATTGCAAGTCAAATAATACTACTCAATGACAAATTATTCTTGTCCTAACTGTGATGTAAACAAGACATTACACAACATTTAACATAGCACTTTTAACATTTTACATTTTAGAATTCAACAAAAATATAGGACTTCAAAAAGCTCGTGAAAAAATGGAATTAAAGTAACCTTCCTTGAGCTTTCTGAAGACCCTCCTCTCATTTATGAAAGTAATGACAACAGGCTGTATTCACAAAATAAATTTTTCATTCCACTCTACATTATTCCTGGGAAAATAATTCTTCTTTTTATTATTATTTTCAATTACCATCCATTTTATTAATGACTTTCAAAATCTTATTTTTGGTCCTGGCCCTTTTTTTTTTATAGTAATCCTACTTGATATTTACTTGTACTTGTCCTTTCTATTCTGTCAGTAAACCTATATAATTTTTACTTCAGATATTTTTATTTTAGACATTCGTTCTTTTGTTTTAGACATTTTACTTAGTTGTTATCTATAGTTTTTTTTTTTGGCTCAAGACATGCACGTCCAACTGTCTACTACTGGGCTGTCAGAAAAGTCATGATGTGTGCAC